ACAGAACAGAAGAAATAATGTCATTAAAATGACCATACAGCCCAAAGCAATCTACAGATTTAATGCAATCCCTATCAAAATACCAATGCCATTGAATTTGAAAAGAATTAGAAAAAACAATCCTAAAATTCATATGGAACCCTAAAAGAGCCTGAATAGCCAAAGCAAGCTTGAGCAAAAAGAACAAAGCTGGAGGCATCACATTGCCTGACTTCAAATTATACTACCAGGCTATAGTAACCAACAGGCTATAGTAACAGCAGGATACGGGTATAAAAATAGATACAGAAATCAATGGAAAAGGGCCTGATGCAGTGGCTCACGCCTGTAATCCTAGCACTCTGGGAGGCTGAGGCAGGAGGATCACTCAAGGTCAGGAGTTTGAAACCAGCCTGAGCAAGAGCGAGACCCCGTCTCTACTAAAAATAGAAAGAAATTAACTGGCCAACTAAAAATATGTAGAAAAAATTAGCTGAGCATGGTGGCGCATGCCTGTAGTCTCAAGCTACTTGGGAGGCTGAGGCAGTAGAATTGCTTGAGCCCAGAAGTTTGAGGTTGCCATGAGCGAGGCTGATGCCACGGCACTCTAGCCTGGGCAACAGAGTGAGACTCTGTCTCAAAAAAAAAAAAAAAAAGCAAGAAAGAGATCAATGGAACAAAATAGAGAACCCAGAAATAAAGCCATATACTTATAGCCAACTGATTTTTGAGCAAGTCAACAAAAATATACACTGTGGAAAGGACATCTTTTTCAATAAATGTTGCTGGGAAAAATGGACTGCCATTGCCATAAAACTGGACCTATCCCTCACCATACACAAAAATCAACTTAAGATGGACTAAAGATTTGAATGTAAGACCTGAAACTATAAAAATACTAGAGGAAAACCTAGGCAAAAACTCTTCTGGACATCAGTCTAAACAAAGAGTTCATGACTAAGACCTCAAAAGCACAGGCAAAAAAAAAATAGACAAGTGGGACTAAAAAGCTTCTGCACAGCAAAATAAAATAAAATATAATAATCAACAAGGCAAGCAGACAACCTGAAGAATGGGAGAAAATATTCACAAACTAGACATCCAACAATCTATCAAGAATTTACAAGGAACTCAAACAACTCTACAACAATAACAACAGAAAACCCACAAATAACCCCATTAAAATTGAGCTAAGGGGCCAGGCGCGGTGGCTCATGCCTGTAATCCTAGCACTCTGGAGGGCCGAGGCGGCGGATTGCTCAAGGTCAGGAGTTCAAAACCAGCCTGAGCGAGACCCCGTCCTACTAAAAATAGAAAGAAATTAATTGGCCACTATATATATATATAAAAATCACCGGCATGGTGGCTCGTGCCTGTGATCCCAGCTACTCGAGGCTGAGGCGAAGGATCGCTTGAGCCCAGGAGTTTGAGGTTGCTGTGAGCTAGGATGACGCCACGGCACTCACTCTAGCCTGGGCAAGAAAGCGAGACTCTGTCTCAAAAAAAAAAAAAAAAAAAAAAAAAAAAAAAAAAAAATTGAGCTAAGGACATAAATAGACATTTCTCAAAAGAAGACAAACCCGACCAGGTGCGGTGGCTCACGCCTGTAATCCTAGCACTCTCAGAGGCCAAGGCGGGAGGATCGCTTGAGGTCAGGAGTTCCAGACTGGCCTCAGCAAGAGTGAGACCCTGTCTCTACTAAAATTAAAAAGAAATTAGCCAGACAACTAAAAACAGAAAAAATTAGCCAGGCGTGGTGGTGTACACTGTAGTCCTAGCTACTCGGGAGGCTGAGGCAGGAGTATCACTTGAGCCCAGGAGTTTGAGTTGCTGTGAGCTAGCTAATGATGCCACAGCACTCTAGCCCAGGCAACAGAGCGAGACTCTGTCTCAATAAAAAAAATAAGACAAACAAGTGGCAAAAATGCATATGAAAAAATGTTCAACATCACTAATCATCAGAGAAATTAAAACCACAATGTGATATCATATTACACAAATCAGAATGGCTATTATTAAAAAGACAAAAAATAGATGTTCGCAAGTATGCGGAGAAAATGGAACACTCATATACACTGTTGGTAGGAAGGTAAATTAGTGCAACCTCTATGGAAAACAGCATGGATATTTCTCAAAGAACTAAAAATAGAACTACCATACAATCTAGCAAGCCCACTACTGGGTATCTACCCAAAGGAAAAGAAATCAATATATAAAAATGGTACCTGCACTCGTGTGTTTATCACAGCACTAGTCACAGTAGCAAAGATATGGAATCAACCTAAGTGTCCATCAATGGAAGATCAGATAAAGAAACTGTGGAGATGGATGCTGGGAGGTTGCTTGGTGGGTACAATGTACATTATGTAAGTGATGGATGCACTGAAGGCCCTGACTTAACCACACTGCAATGTATCAACGTAGCAAAATAGCCCTTGTACCCCATAAACACATACAAATAAAAATTTTTTTAAATAAAATAAATGCTTTTACAGGTAGTTTATTTAATTTCAAATAACATCATCAGAACAGCATTGTTATCCCTACTTTACAGATTACGAAAATGAGTTGCAGATACTGGCAACACGGGATCTCACACTGGAGAGATGAGAGTGCTAGTGCCCTAAAAGACTTCATGGAATCAGTATTTAAAGGAGCATTTGTAGAATAGGCTTATTTTCATTTCCACATTTGAAATGGTATACAGGGATGCATGGTATACAGGGATGAATGTAGGTATTCAGGGATGAATGAATCACACTTCTCATTAGCACCATTGGACCATGTCAGGCTTTCTTCTTTTATTTTATTTTTTCCTTTCAGCTCTAATCTACTCTGCCGCACAAGAACCCAATCTAATGTGCCTGAGAGGTTTCCTCAGATATGTATATATCTTTATAAGGCATATGGTGCTGTTATGTGTGTGTGTGCGCACACGCAGGTTTTTAATGCACACAAATGGTATCGTACTGTAGACCTTGTTACTTAGTTTTTAACTTAGCACTTTGCTTTTAAGCTTTATCCTTGCAATTGCATACACCTCTGGTTGTTAGGCATCCACCATATTTTATTATTCTCTCTCTTGGTGGCAGACATCTAAGTTGCCTCCAACTTCCCACTCCACAAACAACACCATGATGAATATCCTTGTTTCGGCCTTGTTATGCACTGTGCAAAAGTTTTTCTTGGGCGAATGGGTTGAGTGAATTTAATTTCACTAAATACTGCCAGATTGCTGTATCAATTTAGGCTCCCACCAGCAGTGCCTGTTTTCTTTAAACTCTTCTGAGAGAAGCAAACATTTAGTTGATTGCTGTCACTTAATCATCATTATCCTAATCATTGTCATTTAATAAGAAGCGTTCTTGGAACTTTATTAAGGGCAGAAGGAACAGAGAATATACTCAAAATTGGGCCACAGAAAATTTTAATACCTGACATATCTGTCCCAGCAAATTGCTTTGCAACTTGGATTTATATACTTGTATTTAAAAATGAGGCCGGGCGCCGTGGCTCACGCCTGTAATCCTCACACTCTGGGAGGCCAAGGCTGGAGGATCTCTCAAGGTCAGGAGTTCGAGACCAGCCTGAGCAAGAGCGAGACCCCCGTCTCTACTAAAGATAGAAAGAAATTAACTGGACAACTAAAAATATATAGAAAAAATTAGCCGGGCATGGTGACGCATACCTGCAGTCCCAGCTACTCCAGAGGCTGAGGCAGTAGGATTGCTTGAGCCCAGAAGTTTGAGGTTGCCGTGAGTGAGGCCAATGCCATGGCACTCTAGCCTGGGCAACAGAGTGAGACTCTGTCTCAAAATAAATAAATAAAAAATAAAAATGAAACAGTATTTGTAATATCATTTCAGGTAAAAGAAAAACTTCCAGAAACAAAAGATAATTAAAACGTGTCCTTCCATAAAGGTAAAAATTGGATATTTAAATAACTAGGCGGGAAATAGATATTTATATCACCAGCTTATTCACAAAGTAGAAACAAAAACTCAAATATATTTTTTCCCAAGGTTATTATCTAGCAATGTATGCTATGGAGTTGTGGTTTAGCTCTTTCATGTATCCTTTAGGGAGGGTATTTCATAAGCAGTATCTACCATCTAAAATAAAAAATAAAAATTTAGATTTAACCAAACTGCAATCCCAAAGTTATCAAATCAAATCACTTCAATACTGTGCAACGTTGCCATTATTTGGTCATTCAGTGACTCACACACTGAGGAGTGACCGGAGGAAGACAATGAAGATTGAATGAACAGATAGAATTATCCCTATATGTGGATCACTCTTTTAATTAACATGGGCAGACCCACATTGCTTTTTACTAGTGAGCTTCATTTTCTCTTCTGACCTTCAGTCTGCACATTTCTATTTTAAGTTTCTTCATAAGAAAACTTTTCTCAATTTTCCATTAGAATTGCGTTGATCGATGATCTTTAAGTTTCATTCCACAGGGATTTCTGGTCGAAGCCCAGCCTTTTTTATTTTTATTTTTAATTGTATTTATTTGTAAAGCCAAAACCTTTTATTGTCCTGTACATTAGATTGGAATCTTAGGTAATAAAGATTTAAAACGATGGGAAATCACTTTAATATTGAGAAGACATGGCCAAGAATGCATGTATACAACATGAGCAGTTATAAGAAGATTTATGCCCTGTAAAGCTTACACGTATTTGGATGATTAAACTAAAATTAAAGGTTGTCCCTGAGTATAATTTAATGGAAACAAGTGTTTTTATATGCTTTTCATTCTTTTCTTATCATTACTAATTTAGCCTATGGTCTAGAGGTGCTTGCATAAAGTATTAGAAGGGATTGTCACAATATTTGAAAAGTCAAAAATAGTTTAGTATAACAACTGCAAGGATATAATTATTTGAGATTAGGACACAGTTTCCTCTATCAGTTTACCTGGTATTCCTCCTCTGGGACATCATTTGGGGAGAAAAAAAATTGCAACATACGGCATTATCTAAAATGGGATGAAAAGTGGAAATTTGGCTTACCTGTGGTGTGTTTTGCCAAGGGAGTTGGTACAGAGTTGAAGGAACACCAAGCCAAACAGCAGCCACCATCATCCTAACTCATTGTGGCACTGATTTCTGGGACAGCGGTCAACCCACACTTCAACTAGGGATCCGTTTAAAAGCAGCATAGATTTAGATTTTTTTCTTTGATTATTTTCCAGTGTTGCACAGCCAAAATGCTTTTTCGTTTTCTAAAAATAATTAAAGACGGTTCTGCGTGTGCAAACCCTTCAGTTAGCTGCAAAGAGACTGCTTAGTTTACAGGCTGTCGCCCAGGCAACCATCCACTGTGCGTTTAGCTTGGAGAATTGAAAGCAGGACAATCTCATCCAGGAAGGAAAACAAGTGGTGGATAGTCTTCCAAGTTGCTGTTTAAGTACTTAAAAGAGCTGGCACCTGGTGCACTGCCATGGTTGGCACAACTGCCATGATCCCTTGAGCCACTCTCCAGGAAAGCCATCTCTCTGTAGTCCCTGTTAGGTGCCGGAAAGTCCCCTTCCAAGTCTGAATATACATCACAGAGTGAGAATCCTGTCGATTACCCCTGAACTGGTTGTATTCTTAGACTCATACCTGAGAAAGCACCAGTGGACAGAAATCCTTATATTGGAACATACTTTGTACTATTCTGAAGCAAAAGCTTTGGTGAATGGATAGCATTTTTGTCTGACTCTTAAGTGGTAATAAACTGAAAGAGACTCAAATCATGAGCTACCAAACACATTCATGAGGAAGTAGACCCAGAGCACTTGAAAACTTAATAAGGTCACCTAGCATTCATGTGCTGCTAGATTTTTTCCTGCCACTTACTGAAGGAGGTAGGAGTTTCTCTTCTAAAGTAGTACGTAGCATTATATATTCTCAACTGACAGAAGTACAAATAGTTTAATAATAACAACAGCTGACATTTATCGAGTGCTGACTAGGTTAGTCTTTTACACCATCGATGTTATTTAATCCTCACAGCAACTCTGCAGAGTTGAAACAATAAACGCCATCATTCTCATGTTACAAACGACAACATTGGGGCTTTGAAATTTTAAGTTAATAATGGTGGAGCTAGGGTTTGAACCTACACACCCTGACCACAATGTTAAAATACCACTTTTACTATTCTAACACACATACGCACGCGGGCACACACACACACACACACACACTCACACACACTTCTCTAGTGAATGAAGACTTCAGGACAAGATCCATTCACAGATCGTTAGGTCTATGTATACTCTTTCATTGCCCAAATCAGCCTGAAGCTTAACACTAATCTAACCACACACAGCCTATTACCGTTTTACTACCTATCCCCTACCTTGTTTCTACTCACAGCAAGAATAGTACCCTCTCCCACCTTTTATGCCAAGAGAAAGTTATCAGTACTGTAGTGTCTGACTTTTGGGATTTCTGCGGGGTTATCCTAGGGTTCAGGCTGGGCCACAATCCATAAATGTTTCAATTAGCTTCTCAAAAATAATCTTCCTCTTGTCTCTCACTTTGAGAAATAGCCGACATCATTCAAATCATGTTTTCTCAAGAAACTTAATTTTTCAGTAAAAGTGGAGGGACAGGCGTGCAAAACAAGGACAATATTAGGTGATAAGGCTACCACAGGGCTATGTAAAAAGCTCTGAGGGAGCATGGAAGGGGAGTAACTGACTCTCTGGGCGGGAGGTGGTGGATGTGTGTTGCCCAGGCTGCCATAATAAAATACCACAGACTCGGGAGCTTGAACAACAGAAATTTATTTGCTCACAGTTCTGAAGGACAGAAGCCTAAGACCAAGGTGTCAGCAGGGTTTGCTTTCTTCTGAGGCCTCTCTCCTTGGTTTGCAGATGGCCACCTTCTCGGTATGTCCTCACATGGCCTTCCCTGTGTATGTGGAAGTCCCTGGAGTCTTTCTGTGTGTCCTAACCTCTTCTCATAAGAACAGCAGTCAAATTAGATCAGGGCCCACCCTAGTGGCCTAATTTTAACTTAATCATCTCTTCAAACATCCTATCCCCAAATACAGTCACATTCTGAGGTATTAAGGGGTAGGGCTTCAACATATGAATTTTGGAGAACATGATTCAGCCATCATGGGGGTGCATAGGAAGTCTTCACAGAAGAGATAATATTTGAGCTAAAATCTGAAGGACAAGTAGTTCACCAAGTAAACTATAGACACAAGGATGTTGCAGGTAGACGAAGCAATAGATTGTCCAGAGGAAAGAAAAAGCTTAGAATGCTGAAAACAGTGTGTGTGTGTGTGGTTGGAACATAGTATACATGAGGGGAAGAGGGAAAGTGAAGTTATTTCCAACTGAATTGAGAGAGACATTAAAGGATTTTATTCAGGGAGATATGTGATAAAATCTCTATTCTAGAAAGTTTTTCCTGACTGGAGGATTTTAAATGATTTAAAATGGGGCCAGGTGCAGTGACTTATGCCGTAATCCGAGCACTCTGGGAGGCCCGGGCGGGAGGATCATTTGAACTCAGGAGTTCAAAACCAGCCTGAGCAAGAGTGAGACCCCATCTCTACTAAAAAAATAATAGAAAGAAATTATCTGGACAACTTAAAATATACAGAAATATACTCCTAGGCATGGTGGCACATGCCTATAGTCCCAGCTACTTGGGAGGCTGAGGCAGGAGGATCACCTGAGCCCAGGAGTTTGAGTTTGCTGTGAGCTAGGCTGATGCCACGGCACTCTGACCTGGGCAACAGAGTAAGACTCTGTCTCAAAAAAAAAAAAAAAAAAAGATTTAAAATTAATTGAAGGTGAGAGGGATGTAGAAAAGTAGAAGATTACTACATTGGGTCAGGGAAAAAAGTTTTGTGACTTAACCTAAGTCAATGACAGCAAAAATAATGAAAGGAGCTAAGTCAGGACATCAAAACAAAACAAAGCATGTTTCAGGTTTTCAAGGAATACCATAGGCTAGGTTATTCAGACCAACTCTTCAGTGAACAACAAATAAAATCCTAGTAAAATATTTTAGAGTTTCTTTAAAGTAATGGAGAACTAATAAGGTAGCAAAAACTTATGAGCCAAAGTTTAAGTAAACAAGAACCCAGAGAGTCCAAGGATGAATGATCTCATCGTTTCTTTTCAACATTGAGCTGGAGACTTTATCTAGCACATTAGGCAAAAGAAAAAGAAGGAAAAATAAATATTGCAAATAAAGAAAAAATTGTCATTATTCACAGTATGTGTAATGTGTATGTAGAAAATGCAAAAGTATTTATTGGTAATTTTAAAATTAATAGGCTGGGCACAGTGGTTTGCATCTATAATGCCAGGTACTCAGGAAGCTGAAGGGGAGGATCCTTGAAGGCATGAGTTCAAGACCAGCCTGGGCAACATAGGAGCACCTCTCTGAAAAAAAAATTAATAAAATAATTTACCATGGGTTAGATACAAAATCAATATACCAAGATTAATATCTTATATTTCTATATGCTAACAAAAATTTAAAAAATAAAAAATAAAATGTTTGAAATTACCGTTTCTAATATTGTCAATAAATATAAAATACCTAGGAATAAATCTAATGAAATATATCTAAGAATTTTATGGGGGAAACTGTTATAATTTTATTCACAGACTTAAAGAAGATATAAATAATACAGAGATATACCATGTTCATGAATTTGAAGGCTTATATTATAATTTGGAGGATGTAAAATTTTCCACATTGTTATAATCATCCAATCACAGAAGTCATTTTAGGGGGCATTAACAAGCTGGTTTTAAAATTTATATGAACATTCAAAAGGCCAAAAATAATCAACGTATTTTTAAAGAAGAATACAGTGAGAGGACTTTCTCTACTATTAGAATGGAACAGCAGAGAGGGCCCATAAATACACTTTACATCCATGGGCACTTGGTAAGAGTCAGGGATGGTATTGCAAATCAGCAGAGAAAGGATGGTTTTGTCAATAATGTGGAGCCAATAGAGTATCCATATGAGGAAAAAAATAGACCTCCTTCTTACACTGTATGCAAAACTGAATCCCATGCCTTCAAGACCTAAATGTGAAAGACAACATGAAAAACTTTTAGGAGAGAATATGGAGACTATCTTCATGATTTCTAAAACAAGATAAAAAACACACTAACCATAAAGCAAATGATTGAAATTTTAACTAAATCAAACTTAAGAATTTTGTTCATAAAAAACATTATTAAAGAAGGACCGGGCGCAGTGGCTCATGCCTGTTATCTTAGCAACTCTGGGAGGCGAGGGATGGATCACTGAAGTTCAGGAGTTCGAAACCAGCCTGAGCAAGAGTGAGACCTCGTCTCTACTAAAAATAGAAAGAAATTAATTGCCACTAAAAAATATGTGAAAAAATTAGCAAGGCACGGTGGCGAATGTCTGTAGTCCCAGCTACTCGGGAAGCTGAGGCAGAAGGATTGCTTGAGCCCAGGAGTTTGAGGTTGCTGTGAGCTAGGTTGATGCCATGGCACTGTAGCCCGGACAACAAAGTGAGACTCTGTCTCTAAAAAAAAAAAAAAAGAGAGAGAGTGGCAGACACAGAAATGTGCCTCACTTAGAGCTCCCTTAAAGTTTCACTGCCCAGCTGCAAAGAGTGTGGCCAGTGTGACAGCTTCCAGCTGTTAGCTTTATCAAGTTTGCATAATTATTAAGCCAAAGTCATGCTATTCTTGGGCTGGTTTCCACAGTCAAAAACGGAGCAAGCAGTGATAGCTAAGGTCACTCTTTTCTCAGGGAGGTCCTGGCCAATGAATGACTGAGCAAGGCAATGGTATTATGTAAGAGGCTAGCAATTTCCACTCAATGGAGGATTCATTTAATGGAAAATCTTTGCCCCATTGCTTCCTGTTGGGGTGCGGAGACTTCATGGAGTTGGAATTGTTGTCTAATGGCAATCCCTGTTCAACCCTGCTTTTACTTTCACAGATATCACACCTCAATAAACCTTTTCCGTCTCTGTGTCTACTGTTTGAGAGCACCAGTCTGCAAAGGAAAAGGAAAAAAAAAATGAAAAGGCAAGCCACAGAGTGGGAGAAGATATTTGCTACATATATAAACAATATAAGGCTAATATGCAGAATATGTAAGTAACTTTGAGATATCAATAAAGATAGCCCTATAGAAAAAAACCTTGAAAATAATTTCCCACTCCACGGAAAAAGGATATTAGGTCATTAAATATGAAATGCCTGATTTTGAGTCAAAAGTTTTAGTTTATTATATCCCAAACAAGAAGCAGTACAATTAATCAAAG